CAATAAATTTAAAAATCTTCACCGCTGCTGATTGTGACATCACTATCATTAACTAGATTAGAATTGTTATTGGTGTTAGTAGTAGTGGCATTAGTAGTAGCGTTGTTGGTAGTAGTAACATTGTATGATGAAAAAACCTCCCTGCTTAACATAATCAAATTTTTTTGGGATGCCGTAAAAGAAAAATTGCTGTGCATTCATGACCTCATTAGGACTCACAGAGACCTTGTCAGGACGTAGTTGCTTGCATTGTTGCTGTTAATAATATTGTTGTTAATATTATTATTGTTGTTGTTATTATTATTATTATCAAGGTTATAATTATGAATTTTTGTCATTATTAATAAAATAAATGGAACTTACATTTTTTTCTTTTTTTAATATTTATATTGGTATTGTTATTATTATTATTGTTGTTGTTATTATAAAGGTTAGACATTATTAATAATAATTTTTTTTTAATAAAATAAATGTAACTTATGTTTTTTTTCTTTTTTTTAAATATGTTTTTTAAAAAACAAAGATTATAAAAAACAAAGGCTCCATGTGTAACACATATTAATATAAAGTAAATTATGCGGGATATAGATCTTTACTATTCCTATTTTTGTCAACTAAACAATTTCCATTTATAGAAACAAGGAACAAGGGATAAAAAAATCTATGATTGATTTTATTTAAAAAATAGTCAAAAGTTTTGTTTTATAGTGCGAGACACCTAGTCCCACAACTTTTTATTGGCCTTGTAGATCCTTTTCTAACTCCAAAAATGGAAATGTAAACCAAAAAAATAAGTCGTAATTTTGAAGCTAAGACCTTTCTCTACAAAGTTACGATTTCATTTTGTTGATATGTCACAGCATTGCGGAGTTAGAAGGGCTCAAAGTTGCACAAGTTTACTATGTTCACGAGGAATTGCCGCTATGATCGTTGCTAAATTTAGACTAGACCATGGTAATCCTTTCTAAATTTAGCAGTAACGAAAAGATGAATTATTCTTTTGAATAATTGGATGCGAAACATCCTAGTATTCTTTTGCACAATGATGTAATTTTTCATAAACAACTATTTTGTGGCCAAATGGTGAATTGATTGAGTAATCTAATAAATTACTACAAAAACATATAATAGACCAAAAAATTGCAATGGTTGATTGAGCAAGTAGTGCCAAAATGGTATCTGTGATTTGATTTTTACAATGTAAATAAAGATATGTACATACGATTTATTAGATAATTAGATAGTATAAGCATGTATAATACACTAGCTATACCAGAAAAAAGGAAA